GAGGCAGCTAGGTGATACAAAATAACAATATCTTTTAGGCTGCCTGGCTGGTACAATATAAAATCCCAGCTTAGGTAGTACAACAAAAATAGTCTTTTTGAGACAAAGTAATAGTCATTTCAGGTAGCCTAAGAGGTACAACATAATAGTCATTTCAGGTAGCCTAGGTGGTACAAAGTAATCGTTAATTCAGGTAGCCTAGGTGGTACAAAGTACTAGTACTTTCAGGCAGTCTAGGTGGTACAACATAATATTCCTTTCAGGTAGCCTGATTGTTGCACACTTGAGTTGAAGCATACTTTTATAATAAATGAAAGTAATATCAATTTTTCAATAAAAATCAAAATATTTTAATGGTGATTAAAACAATTATAATGAAAAGGTGTGTAACTAATTGACCTGAAACTTTTCTGTTTTTAGGTCTCTTGTATGAAAGTTATTTTCTAAAATGAATTAGAAAGGACATATTTTTCTTCAATTATTGAGAAATTAATTAGGCTGATATTTTATATCACTTTGTCTTCATGAAAACTTAATGCAGCCTATAATTATGTGTTCTCATTTATTTCACTTCCCCACATGACTTCTCATTATTTCCTATTTTTAGAATGCCGGCTACTCCACAGAGATGATTGCGAAATCCATTAGTGATTATGAATACCCAAAAGGGAGTGCCTGGCAACAGCTCATTATGGAAGGGAAATTCCAAACTCCTTAGAGTGCAGTTAACATCCGATGAGATATTCATTCCTTGGTTTGGTGGATTCATCCAACTTATGGCTTTAGAGAATCTCTTGAAGATGTGATAAAATGAATTTAATATATGATAACACTAATAGAAAGTTAAATTAAGACATGCATTACAACACCTTACGTTTGTACCAAAACTGAACTAGTAGTAGCCCTATTAATTAAAGCCAAATTTTAGAGAAATTTTGCTGTCAAGAAATAACAAATTGAAGGCTGCCCTCTCTAGTCAGCAAACAGAAAGAAAGTTCTACAAGAAATTGTTAGGGTATGAGGGGCAATCATTATTTTGTTGTGAGGGGGATAATTATAGGTGGAGATTGATTATTTATAATTTTCAAGATTTACTTAGATAACATTTTATGATGACATTTGTATAAAAAAGAGCGATATTTTCTGATAAATCATTAAAATTTATATCAAATTCACATTTACATGATTGTGTCTGTTGTATTTGAGAGTTAACAATTTTCTTTTAGAGTGGTAATTTTCTTGGAATATTCTTTTTGAACTGAGACACATGCTGACCAGAAATGTTTTTGACCTATTAGACAATTTATACTTTGTCAACAGATGTAAGTGAATCTATGTGAGAGAACATAGAAAATAACTAACCACTAAGCCCAATGGATTTACACTGTTATCAGTTTAATGTCAGATAGTTGCCCAGTATCAAGAAACAATAACTATAGCATACCCGGGTAAAACATATACTGTAGTCTATGCATTAAACACGTTGAGATAGCTGCGTGCCATTCTAGTAGCAAATTTGGCTTGGTGCCTGGAGAAAAATAATCTCAATTTAGTTATAAAGTGTGAACAATCTCATGATGAGAATGTATTTTATTTTGATTTAGCGACATCTTGAATTTGGGAAATTGTGCATTAGGTGAAATAACATGCTAGTTTAAAAGACATGTTTTACAGTAATTGATTCAGTTACAACTCAAGGTGGCGCTGTTTATGAGGGCTTACCACAATTACGTTTTCACAGTCCTGAAACTGTTTCCAACATAAATCATCAGGTGAGAATGAACAGCATAAAGCTGGCCCGACTTGTTTTGCTTAATATGAGTGTGAAGTTGTTTTTGTTGACTGGTGATTAAAAAGTGTGTGATGTACAGAAACTCTTTACAATGGTTACACTGAACATGAAAACTAAATATTGCAAAAGACAACTAGTATGCATGTGAACATTAGGTCATCTTGCGACGAAGCGTTCCTATGATATGAATTGGTGAGAGTGCCGTTTGCATCGATATCGTTTTGATCTATAGCAGTCAGTTCACAACAGGATGGCATTTTTGTGAGGGTAGATTTAGTATATTACAAATAAACAACGACTATACACTCCAAATACAGTTGTCTCTTTGAACGGCATTGCTTTCAAGAAAATGTGTTTATCATTGTGACGTCATTGTAGCGCGTTGTCGCTAGAGGGCGCGACGTATAGAAACAAGTTCAAGGTGATTTATAATACGTTTTCGTTTATTTGTTTGTTTCTACCAATTTTCTTAATTGGAATCACATTGCTTTTATTGGAGGCGAAAAGTGTATAAAAGTTGGGAAAGTATCTACTATAGTGTTTAATTTTACAAATGTCTCAGAACCATGGAGCTAAAGACATAGCTAAACCATGGAGGTAAAAAGAGACTTACCTCCATGGCTAAACAAAATGATGACAGGGCCCACTTTGGAATGGAAATGCGGTGGAAAAACACGCTTATCTCGAGGACGCGTCAGGCGGCATCCAACATCAAACCTTCCAACGTACAGTATAATGGAGAAAATAAGAACCAACTAAAATTCAATCTAGAATCCTGAAGTGGTTTAGAATGAAATAAGTAGTTGACATTCACTCAGTGTATCGTAAAGTCTCAGACCTGTGTGTGGCGTTCGGAAATAGTTCAAAGCCGCACAATGATTATCTTTGTTGCCGGGCAATCGCCACCGTTATTCGACCTTCACTTAATTGGAAATCATTTCACGTGCATGTGGAACATTTGTCAAGTTACCATGACCTCATTCGTCAATATATTAGTGCCCGTATCGTTAAGGTGGATTCGACTGGTCAGCGTGGTATGTCATTGTTTCCTATCTTTCTCCGTGTTTGTGTTGCATTGTTTCGCCGGTGTTGGTTTCCCGACGCTCAAAATCGACGCGTTCTTAACAACACACGTTATTGAACTGGTGACAATAAGCACACCAAACAGTGACCGTTATATGTACAAGGTATAATGACCGTAGTACGTGATTTGGGACTCTAAACCTGTCGCTTAATCCCCGTATATCCGACTTGGAACCCAACCAGTACAGATGTAAAATTCGAAGTAGGATCAACTCGAGTTGTTAAACTTGGTATTTACGGTAAGCGTCGTGCTATGCTATATCATACAGCAACGCAATGTTTATATGAGTGTTACTGTAATGTGTTTAACGACAAGAATCGGCTGGATCGGACTTCATGGTGTCAATGTGTTATTTGCCTTCTTTGATCTCGAACTGTATCATCCATTGGCTGGGGCAAAACTCGCCGCTACTCACACGTCCACGTCCGTTCTGAGGAACGTTATCAGTTATATGCGTGGTATGGCCATGTTTGACAGTTCTATCTGTGGTCAAATCGATCGTTTAAATTGTAAATAAGAAGTAAGCGCTGAACAATATAATTTGTACAGTTCTTGTATGTACATGGGTATGTCTTCATGTTTTGAAGAGTCTTACATAATGAGCACTAGCCATACCATAAACCAACTCACGCCCAGTATCATGCGCAATTTGTCCGTATACTTAAACATGTTTTTCAATGTTAAAAATACTATCGATATGTTTTACGGGTCGACAAATACATTGTTTCGTATACTTTCAAAATAATACCGGAAAGTTTCCCAAAAAATAGGTTGTTTTATCCTTAACCAGATTAGTTTGAAGACTCGGGATGCGAAATTGTTTTAATTGTTGCCAGGAGACGGTTGGGGTGCAGTTAAATGGCTCAAAAACAGATCGATGGTGTCATGACCCAATACTATCAGACGGCGTTATTTATCTAATCGCAGTCTTCGCGACATCCTGTACGTTTACGTGCCACAAATGTTATTACATGTACCTGTTGAATTGATTTTCCCTACAAAAGTTTCTAAAAGTTGTTGACGCCGAACTGAACGCCGCGTGTAAGCTGATACACTAGTTCGATCGCGTTGCGTAATAAAGTCCGAAATCTGAATCTCTACAATTAGTGTTATTGAGAACTATTCTTTGCGGACTATCAATATGGGGAAATGAACCCCAGTCATATCACTCGTTGTTTATACATGCACTGATCGTGTTGCTCCAAAAACCCGACTTGAAATAGTAATTTGATTCTACAGTTTACCCAGAAACTAAAAAATAAGTTTATTTACTGTTTACAGTTACAATTGGCGATTACATTGGTTGTACGTGGTGGCGGTGGTAACCATTTTCTGAATTTTAGTTCTGTTCCAAAAACTAGTTTCAGGTGGTTGTAAACACGCTTTGTTCCATTTAGTTGATTCGAACTGGCTTGCTCGTCTTGGTTTCAACGATTCCAACAATCTGTCATCGTCCGAAACCATTGAAAGAAATCCTACCGGAAAATGAAAAAAATGAACATGCTTAAAAAAGAAAATATGGATATTCAGTTTTTGAATATTGTTAATAATATTTTTGGTCGGCCCCGAATGTTGATGATCGCATTTGTTCACAATTTATCGTAAATTAGAAAGAAAAACATTGTTTTTCATAATTAAACACAATATCAGTTTGCTGAGGAATGAATTGTGTTTGTCAAGGTGCGCATGAGTAATGATTTACTGGTGCGTACTAATAACGCAAAGAGCATGCTTACATCCATCGAATGAATACTAGAATGTATGTTGCAAAAAAAACAACGTCTACAATTTACAATACGCATATGAATACGTTACATTAAATAATTTGTTTTGAGTCACTTTAGTTATTTAAGTTGTCATATCACAATTCCACCGTGATATAGTAAATAACATATTTTATTGAGGCACGCCGAGTAGAGCTCTACTAAAAATAATTCGAATGCTAACACCACATAGTTATTTATTACTAGTACCGACCTGACCTAGAACAAATACACCTGAGTGTTTGCACAGTCTGTTATTCCGCTGGCAGTCCGATTTTTATCTTTTCTACATCGCTCCCAGATCAATAAATCGATCGATAGTGTACATTAGTACCTTGTTCCATTGTTCACGCACTCAATTACCGACTTGAAATGCTTCGCTCTTGGTGACTCTACTATATGAAATATATGACTGCGGGGATAGAAAATCTACGTTTGTTTCACTTCTGAATCGTGTATGTATAATGTACATGTCTGTATTTATATTCAATATACAATCTCGCAACATTGTTGTTCTCGCGTGATTTCTACGTACAGATAGCATTTAATTCAATCAGATTGGAGTACAAATCTTGATTTCGATAATAATTTTTCATTTATAGTCAATCATTATTTCTGAAATATAAAACAGCTCAGTTTATGAATTTGATAAAGTAGCCCATCGCAAACCTCGTTTTAAAACCGGATCTCGGCATAGGTGTATGCATTACATGATAGTGTCAGTCGATGTACAACGCCACAGTCGTCTGTACATGTCGCAAGGAACACGTATCCGTATCCGTATAAAACGTGGTCGAAAATATACAGAAGACGTATGCGAGTTTTAATACAGTGGAGTATTTGAAATAAGACGGTAACGTTACGACCGGCTGGTTTCGTAAATCGTAACAAAATGCAATGAAATGGCGTATTTTGCTCTTGACACCTGTTACGTGCACACATATAACAAATAACTAAGACATCAACGTTGGAAGCAGGCATACATTGCTTGGCACTAAGCCATTACATTACGTAGGCTAAGCCAGGCCATACATCACAGTATAAATCTGCATATCTCGCTGAATTACAGAAATAAAAAT